TTTTTGTCTCCAACTTATCTCTTCCTACAATAAAAGATCATCGAACTGCTTTCTAACCCTCCATCTCAATTTTCTGTCTTCTTCTCTAAAGGAACCCCTTTCCTCCTTCAAGTCCAATTCCTCAATCTGCTTCATTAGAAGCTTCTTTCTTTCCTCCACTCTTCCAAATTCCAAACAGTTCCACTCCTTTATTTGAGATTTTAGGAATTGAATCTTCTTGTGGAATCTCATCCCCTCCCATTCAACTAACGGGTTGTATTGTTCCCACCATTCTCTAATATTCTCTATGAATCCCGGATGGATCAACCACATTCTCAAACCTTAAGGGAGCGGGTTCACCTCCTCTTAAGTCCTCCTTACACAACACTATAGGCCAATGGTCTGAAGTGAGTCTAGGGAGTGCCCTAGAATTTAGGTTCCCCCAATGCTCCTTCCAATCTATTTAGAACAAGAATTTATCTAACTTAAAGCAATAATAGATTGAAGGTTGGACCAAGTGTAGATATTGCTTTGGATCAAGAATTCCTTAAGCTCAAAAGTATCCACAAATTGATTGAAATTTCTCATGCTGATTGTCACTCTCTGTTTGGGATTGTTGGTTTCCTCAGTGATTCTCACTACATTAAAGTCCCCCCCCCTACACACACACCAAGGTCATTTCCATAGGCCCCTAATACTACTCAATTCTTCCCATAATCTCTTCATCTTCCTATAGTCATTGGGGCCACATACGTTTGTTAGTACCCATTCAAAGCCATCTTCCACCTGCCTGAATTTCATAGAAATTGAATGATCCCCTATCAGTTCCTCCAGACCTACCACCACATCTTCCTTCCACAATGTAATGATCTCACCTGAGGCTCCCCAAGATGAAGTAACCACCCAATTTATCCCCTTAGATCTCTAGACATTTTTTGCCCATCTGCTATCAAAGTCCATTCTCTTGGACTCCTAGATTAACACCACATCCGGGTTGAACTTCTTAATCACTTCTTTGATAGTTGCTCTCTTCCTTGCACTACCCAAACCCCTCACATTCCAGCTTAGGATTCTCATCTCAACTTTAGAATTTAATCCTAAAGAACCACTAGATATCTATTTGAATCATTTTCTTCTATCCCCTCTCACCCAAACTTCTTATCCCCCTCGATATCTCTTTTTAATCTCTCCACTTCACTCAATTTTCTTTTCTTAATCTTGCTCTCCTCCTTTCTTTTTATTAGAAAAGTTTTTAAATCATTTGGATTCTTCAGTTTACACCCCAGCTTTCCAACAAATTCAACTATCGAATCTTCCCTCCTAGTCTCCTTCCCTCTTTCATTTTTGTTCTCTCCATAATTAGTCCTCTCCTCCATTCTAACCTCCTCCCCATTGCACGCCAATTCAGACCCATTTGTATCTCTCCTTTGTAGCTCATATTTCTTGATTTCACCCATTATACTCTCAATGATTCCCCATATTCTTTCTTCCCTTAATGTTTCCTCCATCCTCACCTCTCCCCCCTTCTTTCCCTGAGGACTCAATATGGTCTCCTCATGGGCTTCTGAGACTGGATTGGGAATGGAATCTGGAACAAGGGAAATAGAAGTCGCATCAGTAGCAAAAGCTAAAGGAACAAGGTTAGTAGGGTTACCTGGGTTCAGCTGAGCAAAGGGAATTGGGATCATAGGAGGACAATTGGTTATCAAGCCCTGTATGTCAAAGTTGGAGTTTTTTGTCTCATCATCTTGGAAGGAAATATTCCCCGTCATTCTGCTTTCACAAAGACTACTCCCCTTACCCGAATGTTTACCATTCAGTCCTGGGTTAACGTAAGCTAACACCTTGGTTTTCTGTACAGCACTAGCGCTTGGGAGAGGCTTTTCCAGTTCTGGGCACCAAAATTGCCCCCCCCCCCACCTCTTTGAATGTGATTCACTCTGTTTTCAGCCTGTGTTGTGCATCCTTGCCTCCTCGTTCCCTTCTTGTTCTCCCACCATATCTCCATGGAATAGGTAGTCCAAGTTTAGAGACTCCCTGTTATGATCCTCTTGAGACCCTTCATCTTCCAAACTTTCAAAACTTGAAATGTTGTCTGAACTCTCCTCCTCAAAGTCATTGTATGAACCACAGCTTATCCACCCTTGGTGGAGCAGGGGAGAGGAAACACATTAAAATGTTATGTTACGGTTGGACCTCTGTTTATGTATAGAAACATGTAAATACTTTATAAAAGCATCTTTTTCTGTTTTCTCAACAAAATTCTACTTTACTGATAAAAAAGGTAATAGAAAACCAACAATCTACATCACAAATGCTTAAAGCAACTAAAATAAATATACCCAAATAAAAACATGTATAATACTATTTTTAATATGCAAAAAAATAAAGTTTTAAGATAACCTTATGGTTGAATAGGTCAATTAATTGTTACTCAAGAAGTCAACCTAGTTGATGCTTTGTCATCCTAAGTGACAACATAATGAATATTAACGAGGTAGTTAGTAAAGTGGTTAGTTTGACCATCAAACCTCATTTGACTAATAGGTTGACTATTGGATAGTCGAATAGGGGTGGCAACGAGCCGAGCTTTTCACGAGCTGCTCGAGCTCGGCTCAGTTTCAGTCGAGCTCGAGCCGAATACAGTGGCTCGATTATTAAATGACCCGAGCTTGAGCTCTATTAGAACTCGTTTCGTAAGGCTCACGAGCCGGCTCGAATATATATAATAAAATTATAAAAAATAATATATATAATAAAAATATTATAGTTATTAATTATTATAATTCTTAATTTTTAAATATAAAATAAAAATATATATACATTTTATTTTTATAATAAAATATAAAACGAACCGAGCCAAGCCGAGCTCGAGCTTATGAACTTTTGACTTGAGCCGAGTTTGAACTCAAGGTTTTGGCTCGAACTGAGCTCGAGCCTTGTAGAATAGTCTCGAGCAGAGCTCAAACCTAGTAATATTTGGCTTGGCTCGGCTCTAATCCACCCCTACAATCGAACACTAGGAATTTCAAATTACTTCCTTCAATATGGCACTAAACAAAACAGAATAGTAAAACAGAATTTTGGGACAAGGCTTAGAGTTGCCTGGGAGGTACCTACTGCATTGAAAGCACCGCTCTTGAAATCTTTGGCAGAGAACAGAACTTGTCATTAGGTACAATGGACCCAAAAAGCCTAAGACAGAAAGACGTATTTCGGTAGTAAAATTGCATGATATTGGTAGTTCACCATTCTGTAGCATGGAAGTTGATATATTCTCACCTTCAGTTGCTTACATGGAAGATACCCGAGAAGCAGATCTCGCTTAGCCAAATACCAGAACCTACTCCAATAAATTTATAGAAGCCAATGGTTATACACAAATGGTCACCTGCTAAAAACTCCTAAATGGGCTAAATGCAAATGACTGAAATCTTTGTAAGGCAAATGTGACAAGAGGCGTTATCAGCCCCATTGGGCTTCTCCCTTCTTTCTTATTATTTAAACAAGAGATAAATAATCATATAAATAAACTGTTTGGGAATATCAACAATATGTTAAAGCATTTTGAGCCCCTAACTAAAAGCCAGAATCCAGAACAATTGTAGCTTATGTACTAGTTTCAGAATGAAATTTAGGACTAACACTAACAGTCTGACTCACCAGACAAAGCAGTATATCCAGGCACTCTTGAAGGTTCTGGTCATGACTCATCACCAGAGTTGTACCTTTCCTCTTCTTTCCAGTATCACAGTTGAACACCTGCACCCTACATCATATTGTTCATCTTTCCCTTCTCTACATTTAACATTGAGCTTACCAGAGTTGACATTCCAAGCTAAAGCATATGGATTGATCTGATGTTAATAGAATCTGTAACAAATCCATGCATTTCAAAATCCAGAGAAATAGGCAGAAGTGAGACAAATAATCTCCACATCAATCTTAGACAAATACCATAATCCATTGCAACCGTGACATGCCACTTGTCACAGGCCGTACCCCCATTTTCAATAATGCCTAAATTTCATCAGCAGTTCAGTCAGATTCATAGTGTAGGGTGCCCAAATTAAATCCAATCCCACCCCAATTCCTTCAATTAAGGCCTGGTCACATGTTTGAACAGGTTCTCTCTGATAGATTCTATCTCCCTCGGATCTAAAATCAACTTCAGCAGCGACAGAACTAGTTATGTTTGTGATTCCCTAGTGACAAAAATCCAGAACCCATTAAGAAGATCAAAGCATCAAAGCGACCCAATTTAAACCCCCTGGCAGTTACAAGCATAGCCTTGACCAACTCCACGATTCTTCACAAATCAAAGAGTTTGAAGAGAAATCACTAAATCTAATTGGTTCTACATCCCAAACAATCACATGAAGAAAAGAAATACTTTACCTTTTCTCAAAAAAAAAAAGAAAATAAATACAAGAATCTCGATTCTCAAGCGCAAAAGAAGCGAGGGTGGTGAAGAGAGATCCACTGAAGAACATATGATTGCAGAAGAGTTACTACACCACCACTCCCATTGGAACAAAGAGAATGATAAAAGCCAGGAATACCGACTTGGAATGCGCCGATAGTTAAAGACAGGACCAGGGAACAATTAAAAGAAAAGCTACAAGTAGAGCTAGGGTTACGGTTAGGTTTTGATTCCTTCTTTACTTACTTTTCTAGTGGAGGGACTTCTAACTTCAATAGGAAGACAGTATCAGCCATAGAACTAGAAGAAAGTCAAGAAACAAGACAACAGAAGCAGCTGCGCATAAGAAAACGCAAGCGCACACCGCACACCGAAAAGAGATCTTTCTCGCGGAGACGATGAACTCACATTGGAACGTGAGACCAGCTTATTATTGATAATGCCCCAAATTTTGCCAAAAGAGTAATTAGTATTCAAAGTAAAACAATATTCAGGGATACCATGGTAAACAAGCCGAAAAAATTGGAACAGAAGATGCGCACGTTAGCAAAAAAACTCGCAAAGGAAAGTCTTCAGAATAAATGAGATCAAGAGAAACTAGTAGGAAAAGCCAAATTCTCATTGAAATGGTAACTTAAAATGCCAACATATTCGTTGAGTCTACATAAAAAGATCCTTGGAACTGCAAATTTACAAGTACAGGAGGAGCAAAAGACTGGCATAAAGATGCAGAAGAATTCTTGCAAAGCGGAGATGTTCCTTGATCAACCACCGAAGCCGTAGAGGGTCCTACCCTGTCGCTTGAGGGCATAGACGACATCCATAGCGGTGACAGTCTTCCGTCGAGCGTGTTCAGTGTAGGTGACCGCGTCGCGGATGACGTTCTCCAAGAAGATCTTGAGGACGCCTCGAGTCTCCTCATAGATCAAACCACTGATACGCTTCACTCCACCACGCCTCGCCAGACGTCTAATGGCCGGCTTGGTGATGCCCTGAATGTTATCTCTCAGAACCTTACGATGACGCTTTGCGCCTCCTTTGCCCAATCCCTTACCACCCTTTCCACGACCAGACATTGTTGCTGCTGAGTTACAGACGAAAATACACTGAGAGAAGCGGAAGACAGAGCGAGAGAACCTTCGGACAAGAAAGAGAATATTGATGAAGAGGGATGAGAGGACGGGAGTTAATAAAGGCTTTTCAAATTTTGGGTTGGCGGGTTTTTGACGGAGTCGATCCATGTGACAGGAACTTTTGGCGGTTAGATGGAAAATCGACGGAGATAATTTACTTAGAAATTTTCAAATGGATCCATGACGTGGAAAGTATATACATTTTGCACGGATGATCTGCTCCGCACGCGGACCTCACAGCACGTCACACGCGCACATCAGATACGGAAGATGAGATGTCCCCAATAGTGGATGTGGATGTGAGGTCGGTGTAAGTAGCGTTGTATGAGAAGCAGGTTACAATTCGTCAAGAACTATCAGTACAACGCTACCGAGTTCAAATCAGCCCCCAAACGTCCCAAGTACATCCCCGCCATATATTAGAAACATCTCTTAATAATGCCTCATCATTTTTTATATTGTCGTGGAGGCTAATTTCAACTCATCCCAACCAGTCACTGCAGCCGTATGGGAGTGTTTAGCTTTAGCAGATCCGAATTCGAGGGAACAGTCTAGTGATGGAGTGAACATGCTAACAACAAAAATTCAAAAGTTGCATCACCACATTACCAATATTCACATCTCACCATGTATGTGATGTGGGTTGGGATTGGGTTGAACTTCAATTCTGTCTTGACTCAATTCAATCTGGTTAATTCATAACCTTGTAACAGCTTAGGTTATGGTACTTAAAATTAAAGAGTTCACATTTGCCCCCACACAATTCGTCCAAAATCTCCCTACATGCATTGAGAACATCTTCCGTACTTGTCATTGAAATATATTCCCAATACACGATTAAGATGTGTTGTGCATGATTTTGGGGCACACTATGTGGGGGACAGATTTGAACTCAAAACTAAATGCCAAACTCCCTTTAACAAATAACTTGGTCATGGTTTAATGGTAATAGTGGTTATCATTTACACAAAGAAAATAAAAACCAATTAATCACTTAGAGTTATTTGAGTAGGTTTGGGTTTTGGGTTTGGTCAAACTATTCGGATTCAGATCAGACCAATCGACCCAAATCAGCTCAAATTAAGTCGATCATGTCCATTTAGATTCAAACTAGGTTGGTTTAATCCGAACCAATCTAAATCGGGTTGACATGGGTTCATATTTGGGACCAGGTCGACTAACCAAAATCGATTTGAGATTGATCAACCATGCCCTCCAGACTTGGGTTGAGTTAGTCTGGCCCAGATCGGTCCAAATCAGTCGAGTTAGGATGTGCCTAAAGAATCTAATCTAGTGTTGGATCTAGTTGGTCCAAATTGGGTCAGCCTAGGTTGTTGGGTTGATTTAGGTTGAGCATAGTTGGACCATTTGGGCCAAAATAAAATCAATCCAAATTGGGCAGTTGAATGAATTTGATTGGATCTAGGTTAGTTCCAATCAGGTACGAGTGAACCAACTTATCCAAACTAGATTATGCCATTGAACCATTTGATTGAATTTGGATTCATGTTGATTTGGTGAATTGTGTTGACTTGAACTAAAATTAATTTTAATTAATAATTAATTAGAAAAATGCATTAATTATAAATTGTTTTACTCGAATAAAGAAAATTAAAGAAAAATGGCTAAGAAATTCACACTTATACCATTAGTGGTTAACCCAATGGATATCTATGACCCGACCCGACCCAACCCACTTAAATTGATCAAATGGGTGATTCAACCCATTTCCAACCCATTTAAGTAATTGCACGGATTGGTTGGGTTACATAATGAGTGGGTTTAACGTATGGGATGAGAACTTGCCACCCCTAATTGGAATATTTTTTTTGTTGGGGAAAATCAAAGATTAGTACCATATACTTTGGTCCCTAAACTTCAAAATGTGTCATTCCAGGGTTGGAAACGAATCGAGCCTTTCACAAGCTATTCGAGCTCGTCTCGTGAGGCTCGTGTGCCTAATGTATATATTATATAAATATATATATATATATATTAAATAATTTTTATTTTATATGATAATATATATAATGTTTTTAATTTTATGTATAATAGTAAATAATTTTTATAATTCCTATTTTTTGTATGTAAATATTTTTATATGTACAATTTTTATTTTTTATAAGAAACTTGGCTCGTAGTCAAGCTCAAGGTGAGCCGAGTTCAAACTTGCAAGCTTTTGAACCAAGCCGAATTCGAGCTCATGTCTCTAGCATGAATCAAGCTTGACCCTAACACTATTTTGGCGAGCCGAGCTCGTATAGCTAGGTATTCGACTCAGCTCAGTTCAATTCAAGTCCACCCCTAATTCCAATACCTAAACTTTCAAAACATGCCAACTTACATATCATTAACCGGACATCAATTATATCTATCACATGGCATCATGTGTGACTTAAAATTTTTAAAAATATCAAAATTACCCTTTGAAATAAAACATTGTCCATCATCTTCTTCCTCTATAATATAAAACAAAACTTAATTTTCTGCGTTGCGTGTGAGCAATTTGGTGGATATTGTGCTTAGTCTACCGCAATTCCATAACCGATCTATTCTGCTTTTGTGATGATGGAATGTGCAACGGGAAAAATTGCTCTGGTATGTGAAAGTATGGATTGGTTAGAGTTTGGCGCATTCTTGTCAAAATTTTAATAGATAACTATGCAAAAAAAGGCAATACAACTTTTTTCTTACAACAAATCTGGACCAGATTCATCCCAAGAATGATCAATTAATTAAAAGTATGAACTTGATAACGATGTTTAATTAGAAGCTACGTAAATCTTCTATGCTAACGACGATAATGATTCTTGAAGCCCGCCGCCCTTGATAAAATTAGATTCTTAAGTATACTACTTATTTTTTATTTGAGTATATTTTGATCTTCCATACCTAAAAGAGGAGGGGGAGAAAAACTTAAGAGAATACGAAAATGTCTCATGTCATTATATAATTTTATTTTCAAACTCTTTTTCAAAAAAATATTAATTTGATATTTTATCAATTACACACCAAGTACCTTATAATAATGCAGGTTTGTGTTTTCAAATAGTTGTAGGGTTGTTCCTTGAAGTAAGGTGTTCAACAAAAGGAACAAGACCAATAACCCATACAATTTAGTCATAGCTCAAGTTGGTTTATTAACTTTTCTATACACTTAGTCATGGCAAAATTAATTGAACGTCTTAAAATTAATAACTTGAGTTGGCGTTTGATTGTACTTTTCAGACGTCTGAATCTGAAAATATTGTTTTTCAAATACCATCTTTGTTTAGTGTTGCATCTGAAAAGTTTTTTCGGATCTGAAATTTTAAGACTCAGGCTCATCGCTTAATGCGCTCAGACGCATTTCAGATGTAGCCAAAAGTCAAAAATACCCCTCCCCATTCTCTTTCTTTCTCTCTCCCCTTGTCTTCCCGCCAAAACCTCCCTCAAGTTTCCTCCCTCTTCTTCTCTCTTGAGCTCGAATTAGATCAATATTTATAGAGAAAGGGAGGGGGGTCAGGTCAGAATTCGTTCAAATACAGTGGTTGGGATTCAAAAGAGGTTTTTCACGCAAATAAGCAAAGATTCTTCAAAAAATAAATAAATGCTAGTCAAACTTTCTTATTTGGTGAAACATTTTCTTTGATTTGGGGGTGGTTTTCATAGGTTTTGTGCGTCCAATGGGAGATCAGGGTGTGTCTGTCATGGCAGTCTCGTATTTGGGGTTATCAGTGGCAAAAGTGTAAATTTGATAAACTTTTAAATGTTATTTTGTCTTTTCTTGGTTTTAAGTAGGGATATTTTGGGTCTATTAGGCTTTGTTTCATTGGGCCACGTGTTTTAATGAGTCAAGAATGGATTTGACATCATTCATCACCCTTTTGAGGCTTCAGGTTGGGAAAGATGATGTGGCAATTTAATCTGGTGTGTCGAAATTGTATCTTTCTAGTTTAATAGTCAAACGGATGAATCCAGTCATGAAATTTGACATTTCGGGGTTTTTTGGGTTTCTGAACACAGTAATGTTGTCTGATTGGTTAAATAGGGCTGGGATGATTGAGATCTATAGCTAACAACTTCTAGCCATTAATAATAATTATTTTCATATATTTTAGATAATCCCAAAAAAGGAGATTGGTTAAGAGTGGCATTTCTATCAATTCTATGTGAATTTTGTGTTTCATTGGGATGAATTGAATCTGTATGCAAAGTTCAAAATATTGATACATATTGGCCCTATATGCCCCTATAGAGGGTGTATCGGGGTTTTGATCAGTTCAGGGGGTGGACAAACCTTAAACCAGCCCTCTAAACTAGATTAAAAAAAAAAAAAACTAAAAAACCTACCAGTACTTCCCAATATGTGTTTATCAAAGTATTGGGCGTATCAATATTTTGAACCTTGTTTGCATGTAATGTTGTTAAAGGCAATTATATTATTGATCCGGTGCATTGATGTTTCAATATGATGCATGTGCAACCACCATGTTTTAAGACTTGAGAAAAGTCTTGTTTTATCATTGATCTGGCATTTTGTGAGAAGTCTTTTCTTATGTATTATACAATTATTTTCAAACTTAAGCAATATGTGAACTTTCACCTGTGCTCAAGACATAAAAGCATAGTCAAACATCACCATCAATATCAAATATCATATGCATCGCACAGGCCATTTTACTAGGATATATTATAAATAATAAATAATATATTATATGTTATATATTTTAAGTATATCCATTTATATATAATGCATATATTCATTTATAATATATATTTTTGTTATAACCATGTATTGGTGCCTGATTCGGAGTTGTTACAAATATGCTCATGTGCATTAATCATTAACGGGGCTAGATTAGTACCATGTACTTTGGGCCTAGTCTCACTTTGGTCCCCAAACTTCAAAACATGCCAATCTAGTCTTTCATTTCTTCATTTATGATAACACACTTGCTTTCTTTGAATTTATGCTCAGAAAAGCTTACTTAAGATAGTTATATACTTAAATCACACCATTAGTACCCTCAATGAGTTTGTTATC